CCCCCCCCCACACACACAGTTGGGGAGGTTTACAAATGGAGGGTAGGAGGGTATTAAGGCAGTGGACAGATAGAATTCTCAGAAGCTTTTTTTTCTATTCTCTGGGTTCAGACCTTGGACTTAAATCAAGACAATCACCTTTCGCTAGCACAAGGGCCCAACATTTGAGAGGCAGGAGGTACGTGATATGTATTGGGCCTCCTCCCCAAACATGTCTGCAGCCAAGGCCCAAACTTCAACCTGATCACTGGGATTTCAGGTGACTGCTCCTGCCACATCAGTGACTCTTAACTCAGCATCTTGTAGCACTGGCTTTGAGCAAGACGTTTTGATTGGCTCTAAATCCTGATAATAAACGTCTGAGTAAACAGCATTACTAGGACTACTTTGGAGATGACCACACTGAAATTTGGACACGGACCAACAGGCCCAAGTTCATCTAGCAGCAGAGAGGGGAGTGAAGACTCGCTTCTGGGTACATCCACCTTCCAAGCGCATGTCCCGTAACACTGTACCCTGCTTACTTACGCCCATCTTCAAAAATTTGTCATTTTCACACGGCGACACCGATAGGCAATGTTAGGCAAGGAAACCAAGTATTACTTTTCGTAGGAAATTTAGAAAAGATCTTTTTTTTTTTTTACTTTGATAGCAGGAAAATTTCCCCCCAAAATAGGAAATATCAAGAGGGTGTGTGTGTGCGTGTCTGTGTGTGTTTTAACTGCAGTATCACACTGTGCTGACACAGATACTGTGCCATTATTCTAAGAGAGCATGCTGTTAGTAACGGGTTCACAGTGCTCGCTTATATTAATTCTAGAACTGTGGCTGTATTCCATATGGTTTCCTAGGGTTTGGGTAATTAGGAGCATTACCAATTTAAAATGTCACCCAGGCTCTGGAATTTGCTGTCAGGCTGTCTACACTTTTAGAAATACCAACATTCCCCTCCCCTCGTCCTCCCTAGGAAATACATCATCTTCACATGGCCCTGCTCCTTTGCAAGAACACCTGTGACCACTCTTTAGCGAATGCAGCCATTAGGGTGGGGAGTACAATTCACAGCACCACCACCCCCCCCCCCAAATAGATACGCCAGATCCAGAAGAATCTTTCCGGAGCCTTATTCAATAAAAATATAAAACTTCAGAGTCTACACCCAGTCCAAAACATGGATGCAAAATTAAGACACAATGAGAATTGCACCTGTTTGCTCTGGTGACAGGTGCCCTGAAAACCTGTGAGTGGTGCTCTTTGTCTCTTTTGTTAGGGAGCTGTGAAGCACATCTTGGAACAGCGTTTTTCAGCTCTCTTGACCCTGCAGATTAAAAACCAAAGAAATGTTTGCCGCAAAAGAGAGGAAGGAGAAAGGTAATGGAAAGAAAAGAGAAAAAGGTCAGAGATGGGAGGGAGCCTGATGGATGTGGTTCAAACTTTGCCCAGATCAGTCCATTTGGTACGCTTTAATAGACCCAGACCCTATCTGATGAAAAATCCCAAATGAAGGCAATTTCCCAGGTACCTTATTTCAATACCTCTTTTCAGGCCCAAATAACCTTATTCATTTGGTTATTTCAAAACAGTGCATAGGCCTTGGAAAAGAATCTGATCTTTTCTTAGCATTATCCAGATAATGCCATCTGCTTCCCACTTGTGTATATATGTAAAAAGTTAATAAGGGAATTTTCAGTCTGGAGCTGATGGGAGAGGGTGGGGAGAGGAAGGAACATTTTGCCTTGTCTATGTAAGCCTTGCAATGTTGGAAACAAAGCTCTGGAGGGCTTAGAATAAATCCTCTGGTGAAAAAACGAAAGGTCAAAGCAAATATTTAGGCTCTAATGGAAATATACTACCCTTTCCAGCTGGGGTTTCCAAATCCGGGAGGAGAAAGGCCACTAACACAGATAACTCTGTTATACGCTTTCCTACATGGCACTTCAGGAAGCCTTGAAGCTACCTCCAATCATATTTTCTTGCCCTCACAGAAGATTACATTGGTCCCAGTTTTCATTCTAGCACTGGTAGGCCACCACAGGACTGGGCACGTGTGAGGACCTTGCCAGATATTAAGTTATACTTTCTTGCCCTAGGGAAAAAAAAAATCCCCCCACGTTGGGCAGAGGCAGTAAAATCCCCTTGTATCTCCAAAGCCATCCAGTTTCCCAAGGATGTTCTCCTGACACTATCTATTTGATTGCGATGTCTCCCTGGAAAGGGGAGTTCATAGACTGTCCCCATTTTATTGATGAGGAAACGAGGCGTGGACAGACTGCTTCCAGCTCAAGGTAACGTGGCCGGTAAGCGGCAGAGTTGGGCAATGCTCAACCCTCCCCACCATCGCGGCCTTCTCTCTGTGTAGTAAAAGATGAGAAAAAAGGGGTGCGCTGTGAAGAGATGAAAATCTGGGCATATCAGACACCCCCAATGGTGCCACGCAGCTAAGCGGAAAGTCCCCATCTCCTCGATGTGCTGTCCTTGGGCCTCAGCCATCCGGCAATGACTGGCTTTCCTGGTCTCTTTTTCTGTAATTCTCTTCTTTCTTCCTCCCCCCACCCCCCCCAGGCTTGCCAACTGCAGGCCTTTCCCTGATTCTAGGCTCCCTCATGTGTGATCCCCTGTGGCGGAGGGAGCCGAGAGCCTGCCAGACGTTCACGCTCTCTCAGAGTGTGGACGACAATCTCTGCTCCCCTGTATCTCCATAGGGCCACGGGACCACTTAGCCCAATGGAGTGTGAGGGGAAGTGACGAGCGTCCCTTCTGTGGGGAGATGGCTGAAGGTGTACCTTGCCTTCCTTCCCCACACCCTCTGCTCCTTATGGAGTCACGCTGGAAACCACCTGCTGGAGGTGAAAACAGCCTGACTCCCTGGGTCGCCACTTTGGGAAGAGCCACTCAGAACACCCTGGACGTGCCACTGAAACAATACTTTTCTGCTGGGTGAAATCCTTCTCATTTCTCCCCCTGGGGAAGTGACGACCAAGCACAGATACCACATCTCTGGGACACGTTCTCTGATGTCCCCAGTCTAGGCTGCCTGGTACATGGCTCTCCAGAAGAGCTTACCACAGGACACTGCATATACAGTAAAACCTTGGAGTGCGAGTAACTTGTTCTGCAAATGTTCCGCAAGATGAGCAGACATTTCTAATGAATTTTAACTTGATAAACGAGCCATGTCTTGCAATACGAGTCGTCCGTGATGCCGAACGTCACGCGATCACAACTGAGCCAATGGTTCTCTCTCTCTTTCTCTCTTTCACTGTGGGATTGTGGGTAATCATCCCCCATGCTTGGATGTTCAGTCTCAGGCTGCGGTGTTTGGCAGAAATCGGTAATTTTTCAGAACATTGGAAGGTGCCCCCCACTGGCAGTAGTGTATTTTTTGTCACTTCAAAGCACCCATGGATGTTCCTCTGGTTTTCCGTACAAGAGTAAGCTTAGGAATGCTTTGCTCCATTCTAGGCCAGGAGGCCAGCAGGTTATAGACCCTTTCCTCTGCTGCCTTATTGCCAGTTACATTACATAGAGTATATGACAAGAGTTTTTTTTTTTAAATTTTTTAATGTTATTTATTTTTGAGAGAGAGAGACAGAACACAAGCAGGGGAGAGGCAGAGAGAGAGGGAGACACAGAATCTGAAGCAGGCTCTAGGCTCTGAGCTGTCAGCACAGAGCCCGACGTAGGGCTCGAACTCATGGACCGTGAGATCATGACCTGAGCTGAAGTTGGATGCTCAACCGACTGAGCCACCCAGGCGCCCCTGACAAGAGTTTTTAATACTGCACTGTAGTCGATATTCGTTAGTGAAACTCGTCCTACTCAATAACCCTCCTCTCTCCCGTTTTCCTCACACCAGCCACAAAGGTTTTCAAAGGTAAATGTAGGTTAATTTGCTTTTTTCTTGATATCTTGTATTTTCGTTATTATTTTGTATATTGCAATACTGTAATCATTTTTATATGAATATTTTTGGGTTGTGGAACAAATCATCTGAGTTCCCATTATTTCTTATGGGGAAATTCGCTTTGATACACAAGTACTTAGGATTACAAGCACGTTTCCGGAACGAACTATGCTCGCAAACCAACGTTTTACTGTATTTTTTTTTTCTTTTAAGGTTTTATTTTTAAGTAATCTCTGTGTCCATTGTAGGCCTCGAACTCA